TATATATATATATATATATTGAAAGTGATTGTTTATATCACTACATCTTAGATTTTTAACATTACCCTCCCTTTATTTTAAATGCTTAACTTTTCTCTCTAAAACAGAGTACTATTCACTGAATACAGCATGTGATGGGATTGCTCAGGATTTTAAAATATTTTAATTATTAATAATTTTCAAAACATAAAATGCAAGATGAAGAGTATTAAGCGAATTGATTAGTTGTATAAATTATTTATAGTTTTAAAAAGAATGTAAAAAGAAATGACAAAAAATATAATATTATTGTAGTAGCTGAATTTCTCTTTCTTTATTTTCTATATACCAAGAGTGTATATGCTCTCTAGCATTTTTTGTAGAAAGATTAAATAGATAAGTGTTTTACAAGAAGGGGGAGGAAATATTTGCTTTTTTTATTAATTATATTTAACAATACAATAATAAGAATAAACTTAAACTAAAAATTCCCTTGTTAAAAATAAAGAATAGACAAACGAATTATTAGTTTTCCTTGAGGAACATAATTTTATTCATAATGGTTCAAATTATTGTTTACCAGCTAAAATATTCAACGTCTCATAGGAAATTAAATTATACATTTTATCTGACTAGTTTTTAAATACTTGTTAGAACAATGTGAACCTTTACAGGTACACTCACTCAATGGGAGAAACTTTGGTGATATTGTTACTAAGACTTTTGGTTTGTTGATATACTGACACTTGTGGTCATTGAAAGCTGCTAAATTAATTTGTCTGTTTCAAAATGGCATGTCCTTCATATAATCTTTTATTTTTTATTGTATGGGTGACTTTCTTTTAGATCTAGAAGCTCTCACAAGTGAGTTTAATTTACTCTGTGCTAAATATAGTTTCTTTATATTATTTTGTCACAAACCTTGATTAGTGTATTATTTTAAATTGTTTCTGCATGCCCTCCAGTGGCTCAGTGGTAAGTCTGAAGTCTTATAGCGCTAAAAACTGTGTTTTGATATCCATGGTGGGCACCAAAGATACAGCCCATTGTTTAGCTTTGTGCTTAATAACTAACAAACTCTTCTGCATATACTTTCAAAGAAATAAATGAAGTAATAAAATATAATATTTCTGGAACTCGATTATTTCTGACATCAAAATTATTGTGGGGGGAGATTTTATGAATGATTTGTTGTTATTACAGAAAGTTACTTGAAAATTAGTAAGTAAATATGAAGACCATTCAGTTGTGGCTTTTAATGCTGTAGTTTTAAAGGACATATTTGTGAAAGCTCATTCTGTTGGACACATGATAATAGGGTTTATAGCAGTAAGATATCTTGTGTTTTAATGTTCATATTCTTTAGTCCATGATGATATTAACTCTAGATATGGGTAGATGCATATCACAACCATTTTTTACAGTTATTTTCAAAATTTATTATACTAATTTGTCAATGCATGTCAATAAACTTGGCATTCAAATGTAGTTTATGATTCAAATTTTAATGCTACATAAGGTTTAATTTTTAATTTTAAAAGAAAATATTTAAATAAATTCTCATTCTTCAGTTTTATGTGACACTTGTTCACTCCAAATTGTACATTTTAAATAATCTTTCCACCCCTAGTTATGCTTGTGAGTTTTAATGTAAATTACAGATTTATATTATAGATATTGCTAAGGTATCAACTAACTTTACAGCCTCCAATCATCTTCTTTTATTCTTAGATATAAACCAGAAAGCCAACCAATATGCCATGTCCTCCCATCGTAAACTTTCAAAATATGTCAGTAATTCTCTCCAACATTTGCTGTTACACTATAACTAATAGAAAGAGAATGTTTAATTTACTGATTTATATATAGTACTAGCTCATTCTCTTGACATCTTTTGAATTATTCAGCATATAGATTCAAAATTGGTATTGCCGAGTTCAGCTTGACCAACTAAGGGAATTATTTTACCACACTTATAGCTTAGTTTGAGATAAATTATAATAATTATAGGACATTGTATGCTTTGTGTGTGTTATTATTTTGTGTTGTAAGTTGAATAGTTGAAATAAGTAAATATTTAGTAAAGTACTAACCCACACAAAAATTAGGCTTAGCTTTTATCAAGTTTTTGACTGCAAAAAGTAAAAGATCCGCACTTCGATGCTAAATCTCTTCTTTTTTATTTATTGTTTAAGAGTAATTTAAATGTAAAAATTAAAAACTTACTAGGTTAGGTAAGACAACATAAATTTAAAAAAGTTAAATATGCATGTGAGAAGCTTGTGTGCTACATAATTCAATATTGTAACTTCAGCTATTAGTTCTTTGGGTGATTTGTAACTTCTTATGTAGGTTTAGTAGTTAGACACTGTTAAACCTGCACGATTGTTCAATTTAAGTTTAATATGAGCATATTATTTAGTTTATGTTGTGTGAGTTATTTTTAGAAACAATAGTTGCAGATTGTATTGTAATAACAGAGTAGAGAAGAATAATTCATTTTGTCAGTTGGGTTCTAAAGTTACTGAACCATCCTGTGTTGACTTTTGATGTAAAAGAGAATTATTTAAAGGTCTGGATTTAACTGTGGTGATTAACTGTGTAATAGACATTTGTATATATATTTGAGTTGTTTTAATGTATTATTTTTAAACAAGTGGACTGTGTGCCATTTGTTTATTGTGAAAATTTATTGCCAATAAGTCACAGACACCTACTGTAAAGAATCCTGTCCATCCATTATTACATACATAAAAACCTGACAAACACAGTTCAAGAAGCAATAAAACAATAAAATCAAGTAAAAACAAATGTAAGTTGTTATGAGCCTGAAACTGTTTAGAATAAATAATTCATGATGTCAGAAAAACACGTAGGTTCAATAAGTCTTGATACAAAATGACAAAAACCCTATAACCCAAGAGCTTTCAAAGGCAGACCTTTCTTCTTCAGGAGTAAATTGGGAATGGTGGTGTAATTGAACATAAAGGGAGTTGAGTAACATCATGAAGGTCATTTGGTCTTCCAGGAAATGTTTAGTATATTTTTTATGTACTGTTGTGTGTTCCATTTATTGTACAATGTGGCCTGCGATGAGAGTGTTATGTAAAAAGATATTAGGGATATTTTGTTGTAGAAATGGTTAAAAAAGAAATAAATAAAACTATACATAAGTACTTAAGTAAAATAAAGGTGAAACCTGGAGACTCATTTTAGAATAAATAATTGTAATTTGCTGTGAAAATCTCCAGTCATTTTAGAAAGAAAAGTAGTTTAGATTTCCTTTTTTTATGGCTACAAAGTTAATCAAATAAACAGAACTTTTACAGTGTTGGAGTAAAGAAAATAACAGATAAAATATAAAGTTTTACCAAAAAATTTTTGATATTTATTAGGAGTTTCTTTAGGTTATGCAAATGAAATTTGAAAACTGTAGGGTGAAAAAAAAGTATTTTTAACCATATAAAAAAACCCATCTTGCACTAAGATTAGTCAGACTTTGACTCTATAAGTTCACAGACAAATCTTTAGTGAAAATATTTAATTTACAAAATTTACAAAAGACTTGTAATGTTTACTGAAAGCTTGCCAAATTTAGTGAAGATACACATTCTACATTAAAAGATGTGTATAGTTTTATGGTTACTTGATGGTTGCACAGTTGCTCAAAATGACCAAGCCTTTATACAAAGGGTTAAAAGTGAATTTTAAATATTTGAATATGTGCATGCAGTTCAGTTGCTTGTTTTAACATTCAGTCATGAAATAGAAGAATACATTACATATATGAAAATATTTTTATGGATAACATGAAAATGATAGTAGTTAGTCAAAATTCTCAAATTAATTATAACACATTTTTGAACCTTGTGATACTTCAACCGTGAATGAATAATGATTTTTCTTTTATGAAAAATCTTTCTTTCAATTCTTTGTTAAGGGGAAATGTTTTGTCTTTGATAGAATACTCTTCTGTAAATATAAAAAGTGATTGATGATCAATATAAGCTGTGTTTAGGTAAATAGCATCTGTTTTACTTAAAACAGATGATTTGATTGACAATATGTTTATGATGTAAAAAATTTGAGTACATTATTAAAATATTCCAATCCAGAATTGTATGCAGTGATGCAATCTTTATAATTCTGTGTATAATTTTAAATATTGTGTTGTAGATCAAGCTGCTGGAGCAAAATAAATTTTTATTTAGCAGATTTTGTATTATTTTCTTTTAACTCTATCAGGTTTAGAGTGTAAAGACGTTCAAAATGTAGGGGATTGTCAAGAGAATCCTCGATGTGGGTGGTGTGATGATGGTAGCGGAACTGGAAGAGGAACCTGTATGGAGGGAGGATACGCAGGACCAGTCACATGGAATGGTGTCTCCTATTCTGTAAACACATCTATCTGTTCTGAAGAAAGATGGTTTTTTACTTCTGTTCCTGGTATATTTTAGATTAACTGTTTAATCTCATTAAAGTGTTTTTTGCTTTACATTAATAATTTATTTCCAATACTTCTGATTCATATAAAGAATTTTCAGTCCAAGTGGTTGTCATTAATAGCCTTTTTTTAAGTTTTTAGGATTATAAAGAATGTGAAACCATTAATTTTTATAAGTCTGTTGATTACAGCAAAAACACAAAAAAAAAAGAATAACGTTATACTTTCTATCCTAAAGATCATGATTATGCAAAAAAATGTGAATGCGTACTGTCAACTTTATTTCTGTAAATTCTGTTGCTTAGAAGTAAGCAATGTTTGTAATAATATCATGTGTACTAGTGATAAAGTTCAACATAATATTTTCAAATGTTTGAAACTATTAACAGCAGATAAAATCAAGCTAAATGAAATACAAATCTTAACCTGGATTTTTAAAAAAGAAAGGTCCAGCTGGACTAATATTTTAACATACTGAAATGTTTAATGTGATTTAACTGTATGTTCAAAAATATAGAGATTGGGACATTGCATCTTGAACATTTATCATTCAAAACACAATGTTCAGGAAATTTTTATAGTGGAGATGCAAAGATTGAATGAATTGAAAGATATCTGTACACTGTAAAATAATGCATTATAATAAATAAACCTAAAACACAGGTAACTCAAATCTACAAGGGAGTGTTCATGATATTTGTTATGACACAAAGGTAAGTACCCAGGTCTTATTGTATTCTTTGTGATGGCCCTGGTGAGAATCATTGCTCTGAAGTGCAATATCCACTGCAAGAGGCTTTTGTTTAACGCTACAAGTTAAATGTTATCCATTTCGTACATGCTTTCCATAGTCCTACAACCATGCTTGTTTGAGCATCACCTTAACAGATGGAAGATGTCTGTGAATCATATAGCATGAATTATATTTTTACTTGCAACTTTGAGAAGAACTGGCATGTTGACTAAACATGGAGGTGGAAGATTTGTCTTCATTGAGCCTTATTGTTATCCATTCTGACTATTTGGTATTTCCTTGTGGTGTAAGCACTTTAGCCTAATAGTATGCAGTTTACTTTGGCAACACCACAGTGGATATTCCTCTTCCATTTCCACAACTTCAGTTGCATCTGTTTACAGATGCTTCTCTTAAGGGTCGGGGAGTGAGCATAGATTCTCAAGAAATCTTGAGTTGCTGGTCTTCAGTTGAGATGACAATGCACATCAACAACTTAGAGCTTCTTGCTATCTGACAAGCCTTTGGATTGATTCCTACCTTTAGTGCATGAAAATTGCTCATGATTCATTCTGACAATTCGACTGTTGTCTTGTAGATCAATTGACAAGGTGGCACCTGTTCATATTCACTTTGATTTGGAACATTAGAACTCCTGTTCTTGGCCCAATAATATCATGCATACTGGCTAGCATGTCACATTCTATGTGCATTGAATCTTGTCATAGATTATCTCATCCTGACAAGATCTTTCCCATGGAGTGGTCCCTCAAGGCCAAGTTTTTCAGTGATTATATGATCAGTGGGGTACTCCATGTCAGGTCCCATTTGCCACTCATCTCAATACCAAATTACCCCTTTTTTGGTCCACAATACCTCATCTTTTGGCTTTGGCAGTAGTTACCATCAGTCAGGATTGGAACAACCTTTACCTGTATGCCTACCCTCCTATCCATCTCTTTCCCAGGGTTTTAGCCATCATCCAGTCAACTCTGTGTCAGGTCCTTCTGATAGCACTTTTCTGGCCAGTGCAATCTTTGTTTCCAGTCCTTACCCTCCTTCAGACAGCATATCCGTTACCACTTTCTCTTTCCCAATCCCTCTTCTGTCAACTTCAGTTGCCGCTATACTCCGGCTTCAAGCATGGCTTTTGTCTGGTCCATCGCAAGATGGTCCAGACTATCTACACATGTAGCTTCCATCATTTCTCATTACACAAGTCTATATTTCCTCATGGTATATCAGAAAAAATTGTGTGTTTTTTGGCATTGATCTCTGCCCCATGATTACATTCCTTCTTATCCAAAATATTTCTCATGGCTCCAAATTTTTTACCTGGCTGTTTGACAATGGTTTTTCTGTATATACCATTGCCTTATACAATATCTTCCATTTTTCACATTACTGCAGAGTGTTTTCCTCTCCTACCACTTCCCTTTTGTTGCATTCTTTCCTGATCCTTTGCCCTTCTCATCCTATGCTCCTCCCAGATTGGAACTTTAATGTTGTTTGTCATGTCCTTAACCAAACCCCATTCCAAACCCTTGGCTACCTGTTCTCTATACCATTTATCTCACAAAACCTATTTTTGTTCTGTGGTTTTGGAGGTTAGGTGTCATTGACGTATCACATATTCTTTATCACTATACCTATATCTCCTGTATCCTGTTCATCAAAGTTTTCTACTCAATTTGTCTCAGTGGCTCATGAAAGCAACATCTCTTTTTACACCACTTTCCCTACCTTGCATTTTTCATTTGTATTCCAGTTCTGATTTAAATAGACTTCTATGTCCTGTGCGTGCTCTTAGATGATATACTGCCTGCACGTCTTCCTTCCATGGTTCTCATCTATTTATCCATTAGAACCCTTCCTTTCAAAGAGAAATTTCACCCACCACCCTCACAGGTAGGATTTACCAACTTAACAGTCTGGCTTATTCATCCTCATCTCCCAAATCCCAATGTTTTTTACAGGTCTCATCAGAATGGACATCTTGCCTTTTTCCTGGCTACTTAGCTACATCATCCAGAATGGCATGTGGACCACACCCAACATCTTCATCTCTCATTACTTACACCATGTGGCCACTTCTTCATCTGGATATCACATTCTGCTTGTAGCCATACTAAACACAATGATTCAACTGTGAGTTGACAAGTTTCTTTTTTTCTTTCTTTTCCCTTACAGGATCACACCCCTCTTCTATATTGGATCCCACTCAGTGGCAAGTGATGCCTGTCCAGGTATACTTATTAGCTGGGGAACTCCCATCCTACCATCTCTTGCAGGATTGGTTCCCAGGAGAGCTGGTTTTGGAAAGGAATTAGACCAGGCAACAAATCCTTCCTGTCATACCATCTCCTACTGGTTGATTCCCAAGAGATCTTATGTGGAAAGGAGCTCGACCAGTCACAGTATATTTTTTTTATTGCTGGGGAACCTTCAATTTACCATAAGAAAGGAGCTGGACTAGCCAACATATCCATAATAACAAGGCTTATAAGATGTTGAGATGGGGTGTTCCATAAGACCACCAATAGGTTCACCTTACTGTATATTGCATCATAAATATACTTGACCCAGACTGTACTGACTCATGGCCTATCATGAGTAAAGCAGAAAGGGATTGCTGCTCATCCCTCTGTTTCTTAGATTGAATAATTCAGGAGTAGCCTGCTTTTCAAAGTAGGGTTTCATGGTCACCCATTTCACAGTTTCCTGTGTAGCATTCCTCCTGATTCTCCACTGTGCTCCCCCCCCCTTCTTTCTACAAGTGGAGTACAGGAGTCCTTAACAATTACCAGTTCCTACCCACTGGGGTGGTGGACCATGAAGGCTTCCTCCTGAATGTGCTCATTCCCATTTAGTTGAGAGTAGAGCAGTGGTGTTCTGTCCATATAGAAGGTGTAGAATCCTCCTCCAACCATGGACTAAAAAAATATCCGAACCCTTCTGGTCATAGACTGGACATGATCAACCAAAATGCAGTTCACCCCTATGGCTGAAGAATCCCCATCCTACCATCTCCTGGAAGTCAGTTCCAATGATGTCAGGTGTTGGAAAGGAGCTGGACTGTCCAACATAAGTCCTCACACATGTGGTGGTGGGGAATCCTCATACTACCACGGAGAGAGTGATTGGATATACTATTCGGCTTTGTATTTTCCTCAGGTCAATTCCTGGGAAATTTGGTGTTGGAAAGGAACTTGACCAAACAATAGATATACCAATTAGCTGGGGAACCCCCATCCTACTATATTCTGTAGGTTAGTTCCCGGGAAATCTGGTGTTGGAAAGGAACTGGACCAGCTATCAGAAAAAGTCCATCAAGATTTGGATTAGAGTGAACCACCACATTGCATTTCCCTTCCTACCATTGCTCGGATGTCAGGTTCCTGTGTGACTGGTTTTGGTTGTGGTTCTTCACACATATGCCCTGACTAGGAAG